CTGCCCCAGCTTCCCCCCCTCGCTGCCGAGGGGTGGGAGCCGAGCCGGGGCAGGAGGCAGGAGGTTGGAGGCTTTTCCTGCAGTCAGCCAGGGAACCCACGGTCATCCATCCCACCAGGCAAACAGCCACACAGAAGCAGAGGCGCTTTTGTTCATGTCAGAAATCATCTTTATTAAAATACTTTCCAAAGTGGTCGACTGAAATCCCATATTGAATCTCTGTCAGTAAGGTCATATATATATACGTACACACATGTATATATGCACAAATGTACATGTGGATGTTTTACTCCGCAGAGTAACTGCAACTCCAGGGAGAAGCAGAACGTTTAACCTGATGCAGCAAACGAAGCCGAACGCGCAGCCCTGGGCACAGGTAGAGCCTGACCTGCTTTAGGATTCACTTCACACCCTTCGCTGGGCACATGTAGAAGCCATGAAATAATTTAAGACGTTTTTGGAAATACATCCATCTTTTAAACAAAGGCTTTTCAAAGTGTGTCCTCATCAGTGAAGCACCTCTCCTTGCAAAGCCTTTGCAAAGGAACACTACAGGGTAAAAAGTCGATTAAAACCCCAGCTATTTTGGTATGACTTATTTCAATGCATGGGAATCAGCTTCAGGACACCTGAGGCCTTTGGTCAGCTGAAACAATACCTGCACCTTTCTCATTCAGATTAAAAAAAAATAAAAAATTCCTCCTACTTATTGCTCAGTCAGTGGACCCGTGAGACGAACGAGATGGGTGCCTCGATGCTTGATTAATGATTAATTCCCCCTTCCTGGGCTACCGTCGCTGTGCGCCAGATGCCCAAACGGGCTGGGGGGCCTGGGGACGGCCCTCGCCCTCCCGGTGGTGCCTGCGCCTCCAGCTGCTCTGGGAACTGCCTGGATCCACACGGAAAGCCGGGCTGGCCCCCGGTGCTGGTGGCAGGACAGGGTGCAAACACTGTGGCAGAGCTGGGGCAGGGGGGATGAGAGCTGGGGCGGGGGCAGGCAGCGATGCCCCAGCCAATTTTGGGCTCTCGGCACCACGTCTGCTCACCCAGTCGTCACCGCAAGCCTTGCCCTGGCACGGAGACCGGGGCCACCGTCTGCCAGCAGCCTCACGGTGCCCGTGAGTCCGTCACGGATGGTCTCAGCCCATGTGGAGCCGGGGGAACAGGAGTCTCTTTCCGCCCCCTCCGCAGCCCGCGGGGATGCGTCCTAAAATATCTTGAAACCTTTCAGCAAGGTGAGCGTGGGAGCTTTCCTCTTGCTCTGAGCCCGTGAGGACTTGACGGTGACCAGCTTGGCCTGGGCCACCGAGGGGATCTCCTTGTAGTTGACGGTGGAGAGGGTGTTGAAGGTGCAGCTGGACAAGCCGTGGTGGGTGGGCAGGGCCACCGGCGTGGCCACCGGCGGGCAGGGACGCTCCTCGGTGATGAAGAGTGGCCGGACGGGCAGGCTCCGCTCCGCCTGGCGCCGCACCCCGGGGCAGCACCTGCTCGTCCCCACTCCTGGGACAAGCAGGGGACATGAGTCCAAAATAGCTTTGCCTTTTCCCAAAATCCCAGAGCAACAGGCCACATGGGTCCCTGGGAATCAGGCAACCTCCCGCACCAGGGGTGTGTGCAGGGATGGATGTGATGGCAGCGCACTGGGAAGCGGGGAGGAGATGGGGCAGGTCCTTGCTGTGAGGAGGGGGAAGCCTCCGTGCTGGGAGCACGAGGGGGGGGTTCAGCAACGTGTGTGACTCAAGGACCCGTGGGACCAACAGTCAGCACGGCCCCAGAAAGGCACAAAAGGCCAGAAAAACACACCGGGGACATCCAGTCCTGGCAGCAGGGTGAGAAAGGGCTCCAGGGACAGGGCACATCCAGAGGGAAGCCAGGAGCTGGAGCGGGCTCAAGCCCTGCCCGGAGACGGCGACGCTGCCTTACCACGCAGCCAAAAAACATCCCACTGAAAATACCAACAGGCTCAAAATAAACACATCATCCCCCAGGGAAGGAGAGCAGGAACCTCGGACATGTGGCAAATACCGATGGGGGTGGAAATAACCACCAAAAAAAAAAAAAAATCAGATTTGGGTTTAGTATCCCAGCTGGAAGGGTGGGGGGGTGGTCAGTGAGCAATCTCCCACCGGGAAAAGACAGCCTTGCCCCATGCCCGATACCTGTACTGCTCCATGTCCAGCTTGTTGCCCAGCAGGAGCACGGGGCCGCGGCGCTGGCAGCCCCTCGCGTGCAGGGCCAGGACCTCCAGGTAGCGCTGGCAGCCCTCAAAGCTCTTCCTATCGTCGATGCTGTAGACGACGAGGAAGGCGCTGGCCCAGCACAGGTAACGCTCGCAGTTCCCGGGGCCATCCTGGGGGCGAGAGGAGCGGCTGAGCCGTGGTCCAGCCGCCATCCAGCTGGGTCACGCCGGGCGTTTGGCATCAGCTGGTGCCTCACCTGGTCGGCGGTGTCCATCCACCTCCGCAGGACGGGCTGCTGGTCCACCAGCTCCTCCGAGGCGTAGGTGTCCTCTGCAAGGAGAAAGGTGGTCGTGAGGATGGGCTGGGGTGTCCTGTCTTCTCCAAAGCCAAAGCAAAGCCCTGGATTCTTGGAGCGCCATGGAAAAAGCTCAGCCCCTGGTGAGGAGCATCCTCCACCAACACCTCCCACCTTGCTCCTCTCTGAGAGAACGTTATTTTGGGGGGCTGGTGGTGGTGCTGCTGGGAACAGTTATTTCCCCGTGCGTGCCGCAAGGGTGAGCTCCCACAGGAGAAGGAGGGAGGGGAAGGAGCCCAGCGCGGCCATCGCTGCACCCGGGGCTCAGCCCTTATCTAAATGCCACGACCTGGAGAGATAAAGTGAGCTGGGGGCTTGACACCAGGGCTGTTGCCCAATAAATCAGGCAAAAGGAGCCCCCTCTTTCCTTTGGAAAGAGGGCAGGCAGGGAGAACCACTCAGCCGCTCCCCTGGGAGGAAGATGCCTTCCCCCAGCGGGTCCTAACGGATGTGTTTCGGAAAGGTTTTGACGTGGGAAGATGAAACCACATTCCCCAAAAAGATCCGAGGAGGAAAAGATTTATCCGTCTTTCCTAAGAGTTGCTGAGTTATTAGGGGCTAGAGTCAGTTCCTGGACAAGGTCCACGTCTCCCTAATGTCCCCGATAAATCATTTACGGTTCTTCCCCGCACCCTGGAGTCAAGCCTAAGAAAATAGTTATTAATTACTCAAACGAGTGGAAAAATAAATGCCCAGAACCACTCACTGCAAAGCACAGCCCCTGGGGCCGCTCCCCCAGCCCTCCTCCTGCCCGACACCCCCCAGGAGCGAGCAGGAGGCATGAGATGCTCCCTAAGGACTCCCCAGTAATTAGGCTTCCAGTTTCTTTGGGGGGATGTGAGGAGCTGACGTTCCCCCCTGGGACATGCCCACGGAGGGAGCGCTGCTTTCACCTCTGCTTTTACAGGCAGGTTTGGGTCAAATCCAGCCCTTCCGTTGTTTTTCATGTAATCTTGGGTATTGTTTGGTTTTGTTTTTTTTTTCCCCTCAAATGCCGTCTTTGTAGGAAACACAGGAGATGGGAAGGATGCTCCGTGGGAACTCATGAGGGACAACCGGGGGGAAACACGCGGAGAAAGCGTCTTTCTTACCCAAGTTGGGATCATATTCGCTAATGAACCTCTTGGTTAGAAACTTCACGGTCAGGGCTGCAGGAGGCAGAAGAGGAGGGTGAGGTGGGCATCCCCCCGTGGCACCCCGGCCCCCCCCGATGCCCGGCCATCCC